TCTCTCTCTCTCTCTCTCTCTCTCTCTCCTCTCTTACTCGGTGTGTGGGGAATCCCACAAGATGAGTATCGTAAAATGCGTATGCTAAAATGGACATATAATGAACAAAATAGGACAAGATTAGAAATGATTACATCTGACTGAATGTATAAGTAGCATACTTTAGAGTATAAAATGAGAGAAAATCGATTGAAATATTTTGGAACCTAAAACCGTAAAAAGGAGAATTGTCTCAAGAAATCCATAGAGACTAAGTGAATAACATAACAGAATGGAAGCAAAAGTACATTGGGATGTAACTTCTAGCTGGGTTTGGTACACTTAACATTAGGTCGTCTGTCGCCAACAATTCCTTTGGATTGTTTAGATATTTGTATGTCATTATAAGGATAGATGTGAGATGTAGAGAATTTCTAGTGCAAGTGAACCTTCCATTTGTCTTAGAAGACAAATTTATTAAATTGGAATGAAAGGTTTCAATTGAAGCGGATGGATATAAATGATTCATAAAGCGGACCTCAACTTATTTAGGACTTAGGCATATATAGTAGGTTTTTGTTGTTGTTGGTTTGTGGGGAATGGCACGTAGAACAAAGCTTATTGGATCAGGACATGATCTAATATTATCCCAGACATTGATGTTACGAAAACACAAAACCAACTCTCACCATTATCAGTGAGAAAAGAGTCTATATTGCTTACCAAGTAAAGAAGACATCTAATTCCAGATTCATCCGACTGCCATAGTAACAGAGATGACTCAAAGACTTCAAGAGAGAAAACAGCGCCAGAGATGGCACCTACCGCAGCACCTCTAACAAATCCACTCTCTGTCTCTTGGCCTATCAAAGCTCCAGTCAATGCTCCTAATAAGGTTCCCACTGCAAGAAGCCAGCACATTTCTGATAAGTTCCACATTCCAGCAAACAGGTAAAAAAAGCCCAAACTTTTGAATTTAAAGCAGCCCCTCTTAACATTACAAACATTTGGAACAAAATCACCGACCAATCTGCACACGCACACATATATAGCCAATCCCTCAATCAACTTACATTATCCTTAAGAGGGTAAACAGGGTTGGGTTGGCTATATGAGTCTCTATAACCATTCCGCTCTATGCGGATATTGAACCATTTGCCCATAAAGTTCTAAACCAGGGTGCCAACATAGCGTGGAGTACGTCCCTGCCAATTCATTAAAAGAGCTTAATATCTCTGCATATTTTGAAACCAATAGGTGCAGTCGTTATTATATGCTTAGAAGCGCCAATTTTTTTCCTTTTTGGCTTCTTTTTCCCCATAATGTAAATCCCTAAGTTTCAAGTCACAGAACAGATTCAACAAGGTATTATAAAAAACCAAGGTTTACTTCTAATGGTCATGAGCGGAGACAAGAGGGTTCATCGCCGGAAAATTACACTATATATACTAGGTCAAAATTATTTTTTTATATATACATAATGTTGAATCACTTGATTTCTTCGTATGTTTACTTCTTTATATTTTGAACCCCTTACTGAAATTCCTGGTCCCTCCCCTACTAATGGTATCAACGGAGTTTCCCACACAATCGGTGTGAGTTCAATTCTCACTATCTCCTTTCCCCGACGTAATAGAAGGAAAGTTTCAAGAAAACACAAAACAACNGAATTATATAAGCTATCAAAGCAGCAAAGTTATATGATACGCAATTCTGAGCAAATATCATCTACCCCTCCCCAATAAAAGAAAATATATGAAGGAATATACAGAATCAACAAATTGAAAAGAGAAAGTGAATATGAGAATGGCGAGCAAGCGATACGCACCTAAAGCAAAGAAGAAGGTGAAGATTGCAGAGAAGAGACTGCCGATGATTGCAGATACCGCAACGCTAAAGAAATCTTTGGCCCTATCTACCAAATCCCGTATGCAAAACGAACAAATAGACGATGAAACAGGCAAAGCACGCGATGGGTATGCGTAAAACTCCATTTCCATTTATTCTTTTGTACAATCAACAACTCTTCCAACAAAAAGGTTGTCTTTATATACAAATATTACTAAGCTTATAAACGTAAAACTCAATTACATATCCTATTGATTGTTATTTAAGGTGTTTAAAAAGCTTATTTGCTAAAAAAAGAGAGAAATCGTATTTATAGCTTTGGAAAGAGGAAAGGAAAAGGCCTGTTTTTGATCGAATGAATTGTATATGTCTAACTTGTTATGCAAAAAATTCAAAGGGAAAGAGAGAAAGTGGAGCTTGTCTATGAATTAAAAAAAAGAAAAAGAAAGAGTTTTGATGTTTGCTTGAGAGTTATAAATGAACCACAAAATTGAGTCACATGCCTTAAAAGAAGCTTTAGATGATCACTCGTTTTTCTCCACCGTGAGTCACAAGAAAGGTTATGAGAAAGGTGGATTTTCTTTGTAATTTGACTTAGCACAAAGTTTATTAAAAAAAATTAAAATATATGATGCTAAAAGTTTAAGGGATAAAAGTTTAATAGGATATTTATGTGACTATAAAAGCTTCTTATTAAACGCAAACTGGGAAAATAAGAAGTTTAAAGTTAAATTATTTTTAAATATAGAAATGTGTCATTATTTTGGACCGAACTAATAAGTAAAGTGTGTCATTTAAATTGAAACGGAGAGATTATATTTTTTTTCTTTTTAAGGAATAGTCTCTCTCTCTCTCTCCTTCTTTAAGGATGTCACACATCGTATTGGAGCGGGATGGATGAAATGGAGGCTTGTTTCCGATGTTCAGTATAATAAGAATGTGCCACCAAAATTTAAAGGAATGTTCTATAGAGCAGTAGTTAGACTGACTGTGCTACAGTTGACCAGTCAAGAACCCCATGTAAAGAAGATGAAGATGGCTGAAATGAGGATGTTTAGATGGATGTGTGGGCATACGAGGTTAGATACAATTAGAAATGAAATTATCCGGGATAAGGTTGGCGAGGCTCCTGTGGAGGATAAGATGCGGGAGGCGAGACTTAGATGGTTCAGGCATGTTAAGAGGAGAGGCGTTGATGCTCTGGTGAGGAGGTGTGAGAGGCTGGCGTTGGAGGGCCAACGGAGAGGTAGATACAGGCCAAAGAAATATTGGGGTGAGGTGATTAGACGAGATATGGCATTGCTCCAGCTGACTGAGGACATGACCATAGATAGGAATGTGTGGAGGTTGAGAATAAAGGTAGAGGGTTAGGTAGCCGAGTGTTGTCTTTGTTTGTCACAGTAGCTTTGATACATCTCTTAGTGTTAGTTTTGTTATTTCGCTTTGGTTGTCAGGTTGGTTTGCTTGTTATTTCCCCTTTCCTTTTTCCTCCTAGAGCCGATGGTCTACCAGAAATAGTTGCTCAGTCTTTTTAAAGGCAAAGGGCAAGGTCTGCGTACACTGTACGACTTCACTTGTGAGACTACTCTAAGTTTGTTGTTGTGGTTGCTCTCTCTCTCCTTCTCTTTAATTTAAATCATCTTTCGAACTTTATTAGCATCTAGCTAGCATTTGGATAGCTGAAACTTGAAAAAATAAATTTTTAAAGATGAGATAAAAAATAGTGTTTGAAAGTAAAAATTGTATTTGGACATGCAAATTACTTGAAAAGAATTTGAATGTCACGACCCAAACTGGAGGGCCATGACTAGCACCCGACCACACTTGCCGAGCACCAACGTACATTTCATCTAACCTTCATTATTATCTTTTAGGGCTGACGAGATCAATATAAATGGTAGACCTGGATCATGGACAACCAGCAATAAAATATGACGGCATGAACATACATAGCAGGGGATGACCAGACAATCAAGAAACTACATATAAGGTATGAGCTACCACGCTACTATGAAAGACTATACAACAAAAACTAGCCGACAAGGCATACCAAACTATACATGAGCCGACACCTGTCTATGAGCCTCTAAAAGAACATAAGTGTTGCAACATAGCCGGAACAGGGCCCCGACATACCCATAATGTCTATAACAAAAATTGCATACCAAGACCAAGGCAAGTCCGGAGAAGGGATCTCGCCAATCACCGCTGAACTGGACAGTCTACTGTGGTGGGGGAGCTGCACCTGCCTGTCTATCAGGACCTGCAGCACGACATGCAGCGTCCACAAATAAAAGGACGTCAGTACGAATAAAGTACTGAGTATGTAAGGCAAGGAACCATAAATACGATCAGTAATGTAAGCAAGGATAGAGAATATACAACCTGTAACATCTTAGTACCTCTGAGGGCTACTTACATGAAATGCATGATACATATGTATAAATACATAAACCTTTAAAGCATTCGCCTCTGTGGGCATCATCATCATCATATCGTACCCGGCCATAATAGGCTCGGTAGAATCGTACCCGGCCACGTGGAGCTCGGTAAAACCCAACTGATCAGTGGTTGCACAATAGGTGTCGTACCCGGCCAACTATAGCGTGGCTCGGTAGAGTAAAATAGATACATATATATAATGCATGCTCGACTCATGGAATCACATTCTAAACCTTTCGGAGTGACGTAAGGTCGGTATCCTCTGTACACGTTATTAGGACTAACTCTTCACTATGAACCTTATAAGAATCAGGAAGTACCAACAACATTGATAACATAAGAATAAGAGAAGCAACATTAACATCAATCGTTCCATAAGAGGGAAAACAATGTAAGTACTGCTAGCTTCTAAGAGTAGAGTATCTTGGAAGCTCGTTCATTACATTATGTACAATCGGAGTCGTGCAAAAGAAGGAAAGGGATAGCCTCACATACCTTGTATATACTGCCCCAATCTCAAGCTATGCAATTGTCAAAACTCCTTAGTCTACAATAAGAGAAACGATACTATCGTTATCATTTAAGCGTCATAACTATTATGTATCGACCACAACCTATTTTACGATGAAACGGACAGCACCTCCCCTATATATATGACCTCACACCATTCAAAACAGTCACCAAACAGCCCAAACAACATCAATAATAAACATATTGAGCCTCCCAAAATAGTCCACACACAGCCTAATCACTCCATACATACGACGACCACCGTAGTCGTGTCAAACAACCTGGAAATGTTACGAATAACTATCAGCCCATAACCCTACATATATATGGTGTTTCTCCACACCCTTCCTCCTCCAAAACTCCACAAGATAGTAGTAAAATACGCAGCCCAACAACAACGCAAAACAGTCCACAAAACAATAACATTACTACCAAGCCTTTCGATATATATCTCACAAGTTCTAGCTTCAATGGCTTAGCCGCAACTTGGATAATCTTAAATACATATAGAGTAAGAGGTTCCTTACCTTTATACAGAAAGAACAACTCCAATTTGACCTTAAATTTCCATGAAATATCCCTCCAATGCTGCCACAACAACAAAAAAGCGAAACTAGCGATCAATTAGTGTTTTTCGGCACTAGAATCACTTTAGAAGGCTTGAAATCACCTAGGATTGATATTAAGAACATGAGGGAGTATTTACAGAACATAAACCCTTTAAAACAACCTCCCACACGAGCTGGAACGACACAAAAATGAGCAACAACAAGAAGAACAAGAGACTTACTAGCGCCACGGAATTCCCGACACTTGATTTGTGTTGTTTGCCCTTTTTTTGGGTCTTGAATCTTGAGAGAACCTTGAGAGGATGTTCCTAGGGTTCTAAGGTCTGAAAATAGTGAAAAGAAATGACTTAAAACGGGTTGGAGTCATCCTATATAGGTCCAAATATCTTAAACCGACTTAGTGGGCCCCATAGAGAGGTGCTTGGCGCAGTCTCGCGAAAACGCGAATATCTCTCTACTCCGAGATCGTATCGATGAACGATTTAATGCGTTGGAAACTAGACTCATAGATATTTAATTTGGTTGATAGATCACCCCGTAATTTCTTGTAAATTAGGAGAAAATATTAGAAACATTTGACATAATGTTTAAGTAAAATTATGAACCTAAGTTGCGACAACTTTTGTCGACTTTTGTTTCATAACTCGTTTGACTTCAAGACTTATGATATGGATATTATATGATTAAAATACCGTAATAAATGAACTCTTGAGTGTATTAAGCACCGCTAGATTACTTGAAAATACGAGTTACAACATCCTTGATTCATTTAACTTCTAATACTTGTTAATCACCCTTATACACTCTTGTATCACTTAAGACCAATAGGATTGACTTCTTATCATCTCAAAGATAATTCCTTCTTGGATTTATGTTAACTAATATATGGCATGAACTAACACATGTGGATATGAGTTGTAACATTGAAGTTTTGTGAGTAGAAAACTTTAGCTCCCATTTGGCCATAGATTTTGGTTTTATTTTTTAATTTTTTTTGAAAACATTGTTTATTATGAAATATGATAATGTTCTAGAAAAAAAATTCAAAAATTTTTTAAATTCCCAAAAATTGGTTTAGGACAATTTTTGGGTGAAATTTTTTCTTTCACTCGCATAACTTTAACTTTTCTTCAAATAAAATGCATGTCCAAACATAATTTTAACTTTCAAAACTTATTTTTCAACACAATTTTAAAAACTCTTTTTTGAAGTTTCAATCAAATCTATGTCGAAACGCTAGCTTATAAACTTTAAAAATTAGTCCAGACCTGTTTTTGAGATTTGAAGATTTTATTTTCAAAACCTGCCAAACAATAGTTAGACAAACATATATTTAAAATAAAATTTGGAAAAAGCTCCCAAAATTTATTACCAAACGGGAGCTTAAATTATATTTGGTTAAAAATGAAAAGAGATCTTCGAAGTTAGAAAGTTTGGAGCTATAAAAAGGTATTAAGAAGTTGTAAAGTTTACTTAAAAATAAAGAATTCAAGACTTGCGAGTGAAAATGATTTAACTTAAAATACTTCTCAAACCAAAATTTTAAATTCGGAAAATAATTTTTGATGTCCAGACATGTTTGAATTCAGTCTTACCTTATAATGTGTGATGACCCAAAAGGTCATCACTTGTGTTGCAAGTGAATTCAGTATTGTGAGGCCTAAAAACCTCTTCTTTACTCACCTTGATTTACGTGCGTGATCCGGACCTATATCCGAAAAGTCTTTTATGTGAAAATATGAGAAATAGAAATTTCTAGAGTTAAAATTTGATTATGGTTGATTTTGGTCAATATTTTGAGCAAACGGACCCGGATCCGTGTTCCGACGATCCCGGGAGGTCCGCAATAAAATATGGAACTTGGGCGTATGCCCGAAAATGAATTTCGAGGTCCCAAACCTTAGAAATCAATTTTTGAAAGAAATTGTTTTACTGAATT